CCAGTAGTGGAGCGCGCTCACTTAACCGCTAAGCCATGGGGCCGGCCCAAGATCATCCTTATTAATTTTTGTCAATCTGATAAATTTTAAGTTTATCATTTGAATTTGCATGCCTCTGATTACTAGTGAGTTTTTAGCATTCTTGCATCAGTTAATTGGCTATTTATCAACTGACATTTATGGTTTTTTAAAATTTCCTTTTGCATCTCATTATCGAAGTCACTTTTAGGTCTATGTCTCATACATGCCAGTGGTTCGTATCCTGACTCGTTAGCTGTGATAATCCCACAGATAATCCTGCCTGCTATTGTACTGGGTTAAATAAAAAAAAAATCCAAGATTGTTGTAGAAAGTGTCATGTGACTGCATCCTCTAGTGACATGAATTTTGAAGGACACTGTGGCATTTGAGATTAGTTCTACCACTGGTTTGCACCATGGAATTTTCTGTAGCAGCTGTGTGTAAACTGAATTTTTGTAAATGACAGTTGAATTATTTCATCACCGATTCCTCTTTTTTCCTCTTCTCATGAAGTCATGTCTTAGGTCTGTGTCTCACGGATGTCAGCAGTTCGTGTCCTGACTCTTGGGCTGTGACTGATGACTAACCATGTGCTTTTTGTCCCTTTATTCTGCAAACAAAACACCATAAACAGAGCCAATGAAGAGATTGCTCAGGTTCGAACAAAAGCGAAGGCCGAGAGCGCAGCCCTCCACGCTGGACTCCGGAAGGAGCAGATGAGGGTGGAGTCCCTGGAGAGGGCCCTTCAGCAGAAGGTACCGAGGGGCGCGGGGGCTCCTCCTCAGCCCTGGTAGCTTGTAGTGGATCTGGATGAAAGAGGCCTTGCCTTTTTGCCCAGGCATTTCAACCCAGCTCCTTTGTGAACTGATTCAGCTGCAGAAATACCAGGCAAACCCTTGAACTCCCAGGCACACCAGTGGGAACCAGCCACAGGCAGGGTGCAGAGAGGAAGTTGCATTGACTGAAGTTCAGGGGACCAGAATGCTTCCTAGCGGGGCTCTGAGGCAACACTTTTTTCTTTCTTTTTGTTTTTTATGTAATATGTGAAGTCATCTTTCCCTTTCATTGCAGTGTTACCCTCCAAGGGACTTTTGGACGTCTGGAGGGATATTTGGTTGTCACAGCTGGGAGATGCTACTGGCATCTAGTGGGTAGAGGCCAGAAATGCTGCTAAATATCCTACAGTGCACAGGACAACCCCCACAACAGAGACCAACCCGGCCCAAAAATGTCAGTGATGCCGTGGTTGAGAAACTGCTGCAGATAAACAAAAATCAGCAGTAACAGTGGTCCCTGTTGCTCCCTACTCAGCAATTCTTAGACTTCATTTTCTGCATGCCTCTAGTGTTTTGCTGACTGTGTCTTCAATTAAGTACTCATGCCTGGCATCTGTTCAGCTAGGGCAGGGTTTTTGCCATGGGTCTGATAACCCCTAAGACAGTGTCCCCTGGAATACTCAGACTCCAGAATCCAGGTCCCTGGAGATGCTCCTGGATCAAGTGAGCTCACATACTTGTGTTTCTAGCAAGTACCTCAGGTAATTCCTATGATAGCAAGAAAATTTGAGCACTAAAAGGTCCGTGGACAGGCCGCAGAGAGCCAGTGGCTACCTTCACTCCCTACTCAATTTAAGCGTAACTTTGTGAACACATGAACACTTTCCAGGGGAGAAGGTGTATAGCCTTCCTTTCTTTAAAGGGTTTGTGATGTAGAAAAGTTAAGAACCACCGAGTCAGGAGGTCCAAGTAGAGTATAGGCAGTCTTGGGACTATTGGGCTGTAATTGGCCTTCATCTCAGGACACAAGTAGCCTGCCTAATCACATATCATTTGTCTTTCAGAACCAAGAAATTGAAGAGCTGACGAAAATCTGTGATGAGCTGATTGCAAAGCTGGGAAAGACTGACTGAGTTCCCCCTGTTAGCTCAGCAGATCTGCATTTGGCTGCTTCTCTCGTGACCACAATTATCTTGCCTTATCCAGGAATAATTGTCCCTTTGCAGAAAAAAAAAAAAAAACTTTAAAAAAGCACACGCCTACTGCTGCCTGTCCCGCTTTGCTGCTGACACGACAGCCCTGGAAGGAGCCCTCGAGTATTGCACAGTCACGGAAGGAGTGGCATCTGAGGGCCTTAGAGTGCTTCTCAATTCTCCAGTGATAGGTTCAGTTAGGCTGCTAAGTCTGGGTTTGTGGTCTCTCTATCTTTGGTTCATTTTAAAGTCATCTTTAGTTTCCCAAATGCGTTAAATTTGTGATTTTGTGGCTACTATTTTGGATCATTGCCTGTCCACCACGTGCCTGAATATTTTTGTGTGACCTATTTATTTCATCTTTTAAATTTAATTTCCAATATTAGTGGCTTTATTTGAGGAGATAATTTGCCCGATTGTTACTTCCAGTTTATAAACAAGAAGGGACTCTGAGTACTCATTTATACACACTCACACACACACACACACACACACATTTATATATGCTGCTGTTTTTTCCCTGAAGCATAGTCAAATAAGAACATCTCCACAGAAGAGCATATTTCCATAAATGGAAAACTCTGTTTTGAAATAGAGTCCTGGCTCAGAATGCCAACTTCAGAATGTGGGGGATTGAAGATGTGAAGCCCCCAGACTAGTGTCTGTCGTGACTCATAACCCCAGACTCAGGTTTCACATCTGGGGAAGACGTTTTGCCCTGACGTTTTTTTGCCCTGGTGTCTGAACACTCCTCAGCCTTGATGAGTGGGCCCCCTTGGGGTGAGTCTTCAGACCGAGAGTGTCTGCTTCCTGCACAAGCAGCAGCACGGGGCTCCCTCGGAGCTGGGGTTCTGCAAGTCTGTCCCAAAACCACGTAGTCTCCCCTGCTTCCATTTGTTGCTACGAAATCAACATGTACTCGGTATTATCTTTCTGTTTGAAATATGCAAAGAAAATCTACTTGTAAAAGGTTTAGATGATCTTATTTGATTAAGAGGCAACGGTAACCCCAGTAGCAATTTATGTGGTGAACAAACGGTTTTTTTTTTGTGAGGAGATCAGCCCTGAGCTAATATCCGCCAATCCTCCTCTTTTTTTTTTTTCGCTGAGGAAGACGGCCCTGGGCTAACATCTGTGCCCATCTTCCTCCACTTTATATGGGACGCCGCCACAGCATGGCTTGCCAAGCAGTGCATCGGTGCGCGCCCGGGATCCGAACCAGCGAACCCCGGGCTGCCGCAGCGGAGCGCGCGCACTTAACCGCTTGCGCCACCGGGCCGGCCCCCAAACAGTTGGTTTTTGACAAGTGTGATGCATTGTTCTTGAGAATTTTTTTAAGGCAAAAAAATCCTTCCAAACTTAAGATAGTAGAATTTTTTTTTTAATGGGCAGTAAAAATCACGTGAACTGCTCCAGAAATCAGCGCATTTTGAATATTTTTAAACAAAGACCATTTGAATACTGGAGGAGGGGGATGCAGGGAGCAGATTTACACTCGCAAAACCAAATTCCTCAAGCTCTTCCTGGACCTGGTTCAGAGTGGTGGGGCCATTAACCCCCAAATAGAAATTTTCCATGTAATGTCGGTGAATTCCCTTCCACTTGAGAGGCAAAACCAAATTCATGCAAGTGTTTTAAAGCACTCTTTTGTCTTAATCTTAACACCCTGAAAGTCTTCATGGTGATATGCACTATATTCAGTACACGTAAGTTTTCGTTCTTTTCTTGTAAAACTATTGCATGATCCAGCTTCAGCAATGAATTGTGCCTAGTGGAGAACCTCTGTAGATCTTTACAAATGAATTCTTCCTTGGCAGTATACTCTTCACAGGGGTGCAGTCTTTAGCCCCAGGGAGGTCAATAATGTCTTTTAAAGCCAGAAGTCACGTTTTACCAATATGCATTTATCGTAATTGGTGCTTGGGCTGTATTTTAAAGCCTATTGTCTTATTTTGTGCAAAAAAGAACAGAAATGATCTGTGGTTGGAGAAGTGACTTGACAATCATTTGGGCTTTGAAAGCAGTCACTGTGGTTTAATGTGAACGCCGTCCTGTAGTTGTCATATCAGTGGAATACCAGTGTTTCCAGCTGGTGTAACTGATTTCCTCTTTCAGTCTTTTGCTACTAGGGAAATTAGCTTTGCATTTTGCAGGAAGAAACATTGCTAAACCTTTTTGCTGCTGTGTTTTGGTGACATGTCCATGTTCACTTGTTTTACATTGATCTGCTTTAAGCATGAAAGGCTTATAGTGGTCTCCCTTATAAATCCATAGTCCTGCTTAGGCTTCTTGTGTATGAAGAAAAAAGTAGCTATGTGTTAAAATAGGTGATGACAATCCTTCCCTCGCACACTGGTAGAAGAGACCCCTTAAAAACAAGACCCTAGTGAATGAAGTTGTTGCACAAGGAAGACAAAAGGGCCCCTGTGAAGTGATAATTTGCCGATGGCCTCAGCCATGACCGTGACAAGGAAATGTTCTTCCTTCTAATTTCATAGGTGGATATTCTCCAACAAAGATAAAAATGTAGCTTGCACAGCTGGCAGATTAAGAGAATATACTGGGCAGAATGTAGTATGTTTATTTTTCTTTAAAAATGAGCAAAAAAAAAAAAAAACCAAAACAAAACTTTTAGAACTCTGGAGAGTAAGAATATAGCCCAGAGTTTTGCTTCACAACATGGCAGGGCTGAATTACTTGTTAGTTTTAAACCCTGTTACAAAAATGAGAGGGAAATGAAGGGAAGCTGCTGGCCTAGTAGTGGTTTGGGGAGTATTAGGTGATCTTGTTGAGACTCTGGATCCCAAGCCATTTCTTAAGTCTTTGACTTTGCCCGAGTGTAGATAGTCTTTACCTAAAAGCATTTTAATTGGAGGATTTAATGTAAGACAGAGCGAATAATTTGTCACTTGGTTGGCTAGTCAGTTACAGTCAGACCTCTGAGATTTACTTTATTTGGAGAAGCTCCTGGGAGCCGGTGACCTGCCCAAACCTTTTGTTCTGTAAAACTGTTCTGGAAATATTGAGAAGCCCAGTTTTCTCACGTGGTTTCTAGCTTCTTCAGACTCGGCCCAAATTAGGAAGTGCAGAAGCACATGATGGTGAGAAACTCTGAGGCTCTGGCAGCCTTCCAGAATGATATGGGGTCTAAGGGAAGATTTACATTTTTTTCAAGAGGATAGCTCAAGTCAAATTTTCCTTCTAGCCAGTTACCCTTTGTACCTGTGCCACACTTTGTGCGACTCTCACACACATACTTAGATATTTATGTTTATTAGACAGCCCTGAATCCATACTGTTTATAAACAGGGAGAGTAAACTGCCCGAGACGTTCCTGGGCTGTCTGAAAGCAGCCAGAGTGTCGCACTCACTTTAAATAAAGGTAACAAAGGGCTCTGTGGCAGCTCTAAAGCTTAGAATGGAGTTCTTAAAGAACGAGCATTGGAAAGTCTTATGCACACTAGTTGGAAATGATTTGGCACATCCCTTTTTAGTGGAGTAAAAGCTCTAAGGCTCCCTTTTTATTTCCTTTTGGTTTTTCACTACAATTGGTAGCCATCTCATGAACTGTACACCACTGCTGTCTCTTTGTAGCTCTGTGACCATGCCAGCTTGCCCTCGCACTGGGGTTTCTTTATCCTCTTGTTGGGAAGAGAGAAACTGGGTGTTGAGTCAGTGATTCAGACAAAGGATTTTAAAGTAAAGATGTATATATTCTGAAGAATTTAAAAGATAGCAGATTATTATTTGCTTATTAAAGAACAAATATAGTCTGGGAACCCCAGAATGTCAAGCCAAAGGTCTAAGAAGTCATCCTCTTCAAAGATTTTAATAAAGAAGTATTTCGAGGAGACATCTGTCCAAAAATGTTTGACTGGCCTCCAGATTCCTGTGATTTTAAAAAAGCAATTTATTGCTCAAACCTTGAGTCTCCCATTTAGTGAAGGTAAAGGAATTGATATAATAGACACATCTCTCTAAGGATCTCCTCTGGAAGATAATGTAAATGGCAGCATTTCCAGTGAAGACCCTAGTGCCCAGAGCTAGCCATTCTGGAGACTAAAGATTGCACTTTTGTAGTTTTTTTGTCCAAATGCAATCCCATTTCTGTGCCTCTTAGCATACAGTTAGATTTGGACAAACAAGATTCCTAAGGAATGACTTTATTAACTATAATATGGTTACAGCTATCACATATATATTCTTGGTGTAGTTCTAATGTGGAGATGTTGCGTGCGATGCTGGCCTGTGGCAGTCTGTTTAACACTTTAACTCATTTGCAGGAGGCCAGGCATGGAGCTGAGGTGTGGCGTGAACCTTCTCTGTATTGTTTCTTCACTTGAGAACTGTGAAGATGCCACTTTTCCCCCCTCTGCCTTTTAGTGGTATCTGAAATAAACTCCAAAAAGTATCTCCTAGTCACATGGTTAACCGATGTTCTATATTGATGAATCATTTTCAAGTGGACATATAAAACTTTGAACTCTGAAACCACCCCCCATCTAGATCCTGGGCAGCCTGTAGGTTACCACACCCACAGCTTAAGCCTCAGGCCTTCTCACTCAGTGGGACAGGATCCAGGCATTTCTTTTAAATCTCAGAGGTAGCAGTGAACTTTTCCGTGTTGCTGTTAGCAAGTGTGTGTTTGCCAGTAGATGCCCATTTGTACTAATGTGCCAACAAGTAAACGTTGATTGCACATCTGCTTCCACTGTGTCCCCTTGGGTGCCATGAAGTGTGTGAGGAGCCGCTTGTCTGGAGGAATGGACGCTGCATTGACTACTGCTGTCAGGATTGTGTTGTGTGGAATAATCATCTACATGAATTTTATATGCACAGTAATTTCCCTTTTATATGTCAGGTAAATATTTGTAAAAGTTATACTCACAAATGAAATTATTATAATGATTACTAATATATTTTTTCCATGTTTCATTGCCTGAATAAAAACTGTTTACCACTGTTATACTTGGGTGTGTGTATGTTTTTTTTTCTTGGTTATAAGTCGTTTTATCCCTGAGTATGAAAATTTATGACAGCTTCGTTTTTATGAGCTCCATATTTCAGTCTGAAAATAGAAAAGACAACATTTTCACTACACTCGTTTGTGGTATTTTATGCGTTTGGTTGGGTGTGTAATTAAAAACAAAACAAACTCTGGAACTCAGACCTTGCCATATAAATTTCCATGCCTTTGCATCTGTGCAAACAGTTTTTAATTGGGTGCTTCTTGATTTTGCTTAGGGACTGCTTGTCTGCTCTGGCATTTTTCAAGTCATAAGAATCTGTCACCCCATGCTGTCTGACTCGTTGAAGAACACGGGATAAGCCACAACTGGGTGAACATTGCAGAACGGCCCACAGAAAATAGTTGACGTTTTATGTTTCTTCTAGGTTAATGGCAGGAAATCTTTTTCAGTACTAGCCAAGCCAACTCTGCGCTTTGAGGGGTAGGGGACTGGGCAGGATATTTCGTGAGTTTTATTACAGGAAAAGATAAATTAGGAGGCTAGTTAAGGCTCCATTTTACAACTTAGGTGAGGATCCATTGAGGAAAATCAGAGCACTGTCGCTTTCTTACTAATTGCCGCACCTTAAGCCATTGCAGCCTATAAAGTTCCTAGAAAGAATGTTTCTCATCAGTTTGCTCCTGAACTGCCGGGAGGGGAATCCTATAAAATGACTTAAGGAGGTCTCCACACTGCCTTTTACTAAATGCTACAGACAGTAGACATCTCATCATTTTCTAAGAATTATTGGGATGAATAAAATGGAAATTACTTTTATACTCTCAGAGAATTTTATTCTTGGATAATATGAGATTAATAGTGTTTTTCTCACTTTTACAAACAGAGGATCATGGGATCATTTTAGTGAGTGGGATTCAGTATTTTAATAAGAGAAAATATGACAGGAAATATCAAAGTGCATTGCACACAGTAAGGATAAGTATTGCTTCAGGAGATTTCTTTAGGTATAAATGTGTG